TTTTACTTTTACCTGAAACTATACATGTAAAGTGATTGGAAACACTATGTAAAAAAATGTAAAGGATCAAGATGAATGTAAAATTCATTATATATATATATATATATATATATTTAAAAACATTACAATATATTTTATAAGTTAATTTTTAAATTTTGGTATAGATATAAAAAATAATAAATAAATCAATATGAAAATAATTATTTTAATAAATTATTTTACAAATTATTTCAATACTACATAATATACAGATATTTAAATATATTTTATAATTTTAACTAATTTTTAAAATACAGTATTCTAAAAATATTTATTTTAATGAATAAATAAAATTATAATATTTATTATATATATTACTTAAATTTTGATTATGAGTATTATATATAAATTTTTAGAATAGTTTTCCTTTATTTCCTTTATTACATGTCAAAAATTAATATATTAATGTAAAATCTTATAATTTATATTATTTTTTTTATTATATTACATTACATTTTTCAAAAAAAAAAATGATAAACATAATATTTGAGAAATATTGATTTTTGCAAAGTACAATATAAATTATATTTAAAATTTTAACAAATATATATTAATCTACTATTATCTACAAGATATATTTTATTGTACATAAAATGTATTTGTGGGTCAATTTTGAAGAATAGAGTCAAGTAAGTGTAAAAATTGATACACGAAAGTATTGATTGAATTTATTAAATTATAATCAATTTAGAATTTGCATTAATGAGGCAAAAATAAAATAAAATGACAGATAGAACTTTTACTCTATCTCCATTTCGCTTCATTTAATACAAACTTAATAAATAAGGAACATTTTTATGTATTAATTTTTCGTTTTGATTTTTATATTTGATTTGTTCTAAAAATATCCTATGAATATATTATCTATTTATATATCAACAAGTGGTTGTACAATCAAAACACGAATCATTATTTGAAAAAATTGACAATCATAGCAAGCATGGACGAGTTTTTTATGTAATTTTTTCAAGTATCTTTGGTAACAATTCTTTAAACTAAATTCAATCTTCGTCCAGATTTTTTACTACTCAAAATAAAAAAAATGAAATAATGATAAAACGTTATCAACTTGTATTTCGATTGTGCAATTAGAATTTGAACTAAGAATCATATTCGATCTGTCAATAATATAAATGAATCTTAATCAATAATGAAATATTGTTCCAAAAAGTTTATGTTCATAAATAGCGGAAAAGATAAATAGGATAAAAAAAAGTTATATATTTATAATGCATAACAAATAATTAAAACTTTTCAAACCAAAAATTTGTTTAATTTGAATACGTTATAGCTAGTTCGTGAAGTACGATATCTCCAGATATTTTAAGAGTATCAATGATGGATGGTTGTAATCTGTGTTTGAATTCACCAATCATTTTGTTTCCTAACCATATCGTATATGCTTCGAATTCACATCGAATTCTACAAAAGAAACAATAAAAATGTAAATTAAAAATAGAACAAAAAAAAATTGTTTAAGAAACAATTAAAAATTAATTAATAATATCTTTAATTATATTTGTTTGATTAAAATTTTTTGTAATATTTTTTTTAACCTACGTCAGAAGAAAATCACGACCAGGCATCCATGACAAATGACCTGAGTGTCTTTCTTCATATCCCCAAGATCCATTTTTCCAGAAATTCATTACAACATAAGGTACACTGCTACCATATAAAAAACGAGGATTTAAATGTAATGCAATTATTGGATGTGGATAAATTGCTTTTCCTTTTTGTAGATTTATATAAAATCTATAATCAAATATATAAAAAATATATAAAAATTAATTATTTCTTGTTTCTTGTTTAAAATTTCTTTAATCCTAAAAAATCATAAGAACTCACGAATGTGGAAGAAGTTTTAATCTTCCTGCAATGAAAAGCCTGGTTCCTATTTTAAATTCATTTTCAATGTCTACTGTGATTGGAACATCCTATATATAATTATTTAGTAATTTCAATTGATAAAAACAAATATAAAATAGTAATTAAAAAAAAAACCTACAAGAAAATCGACGAGTGGTTGATCAATTTTTAAAGTTAAAATGTTATTTGGTCTACATAATTTTGGATCGGGATAAATGAATAATTCCAATTGTCTAAATTTAACATCTTCTAATGATCCATTAATTTCTAAATTTATTACATCTTCAAGAGGCATTCTATATGCAAAAGAACAAAAATGTTCTCCATTTACTGCAATCTAATAAAATTAATGTTAAAAAATATTGCTACTATAAAATTTATAATTATAGCAATCAATCTTTAATTCTTACTTGATATTCATTAGCAGTGCAAAAAATTAAAACATGCACATAGGAATTGCGCCGAAAAGTAATATGTCCTGCTGGAGAACAAGTCTCTTCCTCTTCCCAACAACCCTTAAATTTTGAATTTCGAACCACATAACCTCTGTCTAATCGTGCATTAAAATGCAATGCAATATTTTCAGCATTTTTGCATAATAAATTAACTGAAAATCTATAAGAATATTTAACAATCTATAATATATTCAACAAATATATATTTTGATTTCTTTATATATATGATTATTAAAATTTATAAAAATTTCTATTATAAGATTTTTCTTACGCTAAGATATCACCTCAAAGCATCAGGAGGAATATATCCTGTAATCACGATAGCTGATGTTGGTTTCAGAGGTTGTAATGGAACAGGTTTTGAAGCATTCTAGAATATAATGCGTGCATATATTTAGTTAGAAAAATATATTATATAAAAAAATTTACTATTAAAATAAAATAAATTTATCATGAAAATTATATTGTTAAAATATTCTATATCAGAATAAATATAAATTATATTAATTAATGTTTTATGATGCGCAATCACCAAAGTATAGAGATAAGATTTTAAAAATAATAAACTGCATTCATTTTAAGTGTTTTTAACGAATTTTTATTGCATTACGGAAAATCATTAATCTAATATTATTCAATCATTTATATAATTATTTACCCTATTATATCATTATATAATTATTTATTCTGAGAATGACGATCAATGAAATATGATATTATTAATAAAATAATTTTTTTTATTAAGATATTTAGATCATAGATAAAAGAAAAATTAGAAAAAGGATAGAAATGTGATAATATAACTGCTTGTAAAACAATACATATAAACTAGTCAGAGTCCGGATACGAATCTTCGACATTAGTCGCCATCAGGGTTATTTTACTATTTGTGTAAGTATTCATCTTCATTTTCTTAATACAAGATAAGTATTCACAATTATTTAAATCTAAACGAAGAAAAGGATAGAATTAAAAAAACGTTTTATTATCATATGTTAATATCTAATCTAAAGCCATATTTATTTCATAATTTTTAATATAAAGAATATAATTTTTATAAGATTTAGATAAACTAAGTTTTAAATTAAAAATTAAAATAAAAAAAAATTAATAGATACTTATGTATTTTAAACTTATAATTTAAAATTAGCATAATCAATATAATTATAGTTATTAATCAATTTTATAGAATATCTCAATTAATAATTTTTTCTCAGTGTAATTATTTATTATAATATTTATAAATATCTAAATTTAAAAAATAAAATATTTTAAATATTTGTAATGTAACGAATTCAAAATATTTTATATTTAAATATCATACATATCTATAATAAATAGGTTATAAATAAAAATTCAATCTTTTTTTTATATTATCAATGTTTTAATATTTAAAAATAATTACAAAAAAAAATAATATATTCACAATACATTTATTATATTTACCTAATTGAATATATAATGTAATATAATTCATCACAAGCTATTTATAACTCAAATTAATAAATAGAACTGATGGAAATCTATTTTATATGAAATAATATAAAGCAGATATTTGTTTTGTTAATTGATGAACATTAAATTGGTCAGAATTAATTATATTGTTTAAAGCAATGTAAATTTGGCTTGATTAAAACTTCAATTATTTCTCTATATGTTACATAATTAACTTCTTCCATTATTGAATTTAATTTTATAACCTATTCTTTTGAAAGAATAGGTAAGATATGTATATTTTATTCAATTGGTAAATCTAGATTTTTATTATCTATGACTCAATTATATTGTCGATCGATACTCACTAATGGTACTGTTTCTTCATCGACAAATGAAAATTCACGAAGAGCATTTTCTTTTGTTTGTATGAAAATTTCAACTTGATGTACAGACATATTCCTTTAATAAGTTTCAAGGATGATTTATTGAAACATCGTCTCGTTTTAAGCCGCACTTCTAGTGTAATAGCGATATCTTTATTCACTTTGTTGTTCTATTTATAAATATATATTTCATTCGATAAAAAGCGAATTTATTTAAAAAAATAATTTATTTTTATTATTAAAAAATTTCGATTTATTTGGATGAAGTTTAAAGTTTTTTTAATATTAATTTTTCTTAGAATATAATTATTTTTAAAAATAAAAAAAAATTTAAAAATAATATTTATAATATATTATATATATATAATATATTAGAATTATTTTTTTTTTAAATATAATATTCTTTCAAAACTTGAAAATAAATATAATATTAATACTAAAAAATTTTATTAAATTTTTATTGTAAATGTATAGATATGTATTTTTTCTTTAACTCTTTTTTTTTGTTTCAACAATCCATAAATTCATTATTATTTTTTATTTTTATTTTATTTACAATAGAAAAATATTAGTAAAATTATTTCATTGCTACTATGACTTTTTTTTCGACTAGATTGTTCTATCAGAAATATATTTTCTTTTTTTTAAAAAGACATATATGTATATTCATAATTGATATTTATCTTTAGTAATTTAAAAATACAATAAATTACTTTTTTATATTAATTTTGCTTTAAATTATCAGTCGGTAATTGTTAATACAAATTTTTGAAAAATTAAGGCAGTATATGTTTACTGTGAATAATTTACAATATGTTATTTGATTCTATATTTCACTCAATGCAGAAGTAATAAATAAATAAATAATGAATTAAATTTTTAAGAAATTCTAAGTCATTTTAATAAAATTTTAAATTAATATTCTTATTTTATTGATTTTGATGTAAAATTATGCTCGTTTATAGAAGATATTCACTAAAATAAAATAAAAAAAAACTATTATATAATATACATAATAAAAAATCATGAATTAAATATCTCGTGGTTCATGAGGTGCTGGAAGTCGTTGCCAAGATGGCTCAACGCCCCAAATTTCACGAGCATATTCTGCAATAGTTCGATCCGATGAAAATTTTCCTGAAGAAGCTATATTATTAATTGCCATTTCAATCCATTTACTTTCGTCCTGAAACAATCAATTAAAATATGAAATACAATAATCAAAAAATATAAACATTATTCTGAAAAAAACTACATGTTTTTTTATAGATTTTATGTAAATATATAAATATTTTTATATATTGACATACCTGGTAAACTTTACTGACATGATCTTGCATTTTTATATAGCTTTCATAATCGGCAAATAAATAAAACCTATCCCAGTTTAATAAAACATTAGTAATATCTTTAAATTCATCTGGATTATTGGGGCTGAAAAAGCCACTCTGAATTTGATCGACACATTGTTTTAATTCTGGTATTCTATTATAATAATCATAAGCATTGTATCCTTTTTTTTTAAATCTTCTACTTCATCAACAGTCATACCAAAAATGAATATATTTTCATTACCCATTTCTTCGGCCATTTCTACATTAGCACCATCTAAGGTACCAATTGTCAAAGCTCCGTTTAACTAAACGAATGTAAAATATAAATTATAAATTGCATATAAAATACATAATTTTATATATCATAAAATATACTTACCATAAATTTCATATTTCCTGTACCGGAAGCTTCAGTACCTGCAGTAGAAATTTGTTCACTCAAATCTGCTGCTGGAATTATTTTTTCCGCTAATGTAACTCGATAATTTTCAAGAAAAATGAATTTTAATTTATCACCAACAATAGGATCGTTATTTATGACATTTCCTACACTACAAATTAATTTGATAATTTTTTTGGCTAAATGATAACCAGGCGCAGCTTTTCCTCCAATCATCACCGTTCGAGGAACGAATAACGCAGTTGGATCTTTTTTTATTCTATTGTATAACGTGATTACGTGTAAACAATTCAGAAGCTGTCTTTTGTATTCATGTATTCGTTTCACCTATTTTGTGAAAGCATACATTTTAGATTAAATTTGTACATAAAAAAGATTAATTTAATGTGATTACTTGAATATCAAAGATGGAAGCAGGATTGACTTTAACTCCATAATCTTTCTCAAGCATTTGCGTTAATTTTAATTTATTCTCTTGTTTCACTTTCATAACACTACGCTGGAAAACCGGATCTTTGGCCCATTGTTTTAATTGAGAAAGTTGTTCTAGATGTACTGTCCAATCACTGCCAATTTTCTAAAGAATAATAAATAATAATTGAAATTGAAATGAAAAATTATGAATAATTATAATACCTACTTCTTCAATAATATCTGAGAGATTTGGATTGCACAGAAGCAACCATCTTCTTGGTGTAATACCATTAGTTTTATTTTGAAATTTTTCAGGCGTTAGTTCATAAAAGTCTTTAAATCTAAAATAAAAATAAAATGAAATCTATTCTAATCTATCAAAAATATTATTTATTAAAAAAATCAAATTAATAAAAATTTAAAATGCTCAAAAATACCTACACACTTTGTTTCAAGATTTCCGAATGTAATGCGGCGACTCCATTAATAGCATGACTACCAACAATCGAAAGATGCGCCATATTAACCCTTTTTTCACCCTCTTCCTCGATCAAAGACATACGTCGAAGACGATCTACGTCTCCTGGATATTTAGCAGAAACGTCTTGTAAATGAAGGAAATTAATATGATAAATAATCTGTAAATGTCTCGGCAGAATGCTTTCTAACATGCTTGTTGGCCATCTTTCTAAAGCTTCTGGAAGAACAGTATGATTAGTATAAGCGCATGTTCTCGTTGTGATATCCCAAGCTTTTTCCCAAGGTAATCCTTCAACATCGATAAGAATTCTCATAAGTTCTGGAATGGCCAACGAAGGATGGGTATCATTTAACTGAATACCCACTTTATCAGGAAACATGTCAAAGTCTGTTCTATGATGTTCTCTTGAACCAAATTTGCTGGCTTTATACCTGTAAATAAGATGTTAAAAATTATTAAATATCGAAATTAAATATTATATTAAATATATTAAAAATTATATTAAATATAATTTGTTGATAAAATATATTTATTAATAAAAATATTATAAAATATTTTATATAGATATATTTTATATATATTGTATCAATAATAAAATTAATTTATGGTAACCTTCGTATAATATCTTGAAGAGTTGCTGCTACCATAAAATATTCTTGTTTTAGACGTAATTCTTTGCCTTCAAAAAAATTATCATTAGGGTATAATACTCTAGAGATATTTTCCGCCAAATTGCGATCTATTACAGCTTGAATATAATCACCATCATTAACTAAAAAAAGAATAATTTGTTTTCATATAATCAATCTTAATTTGTAAAATATAAAATATGATAAAAAAAATTGCTTACAGAATTTCAAATTAAATTCTACAGGAGATTTAGCAGACCACAATCTGAGAGTATTGACAACATTATTTTTGTATCCAGGAACTGGGTTATCATATGGCATTGCAAATACAACCTGATCAAATGTACATTTTTATTTTATTAATAACTTTAAACCATTTAACTAGCTTATTTTATTTGTACTGACTTGCGTATTGATCCACTTCTTTCCTTCAGGAGTATCAATCACCTGTCCATAGAAGTTTACTGGAAGCATAAATTCTGGTCTTGCTTTTTCCCATGGATTTCCATAACGCAACCAATCATCTGGTTCTTCTACTTGTTCTCCATTTTTTATTTTTTGTGCAAATATACCATATTCATATCGAATACCATAACCATAAGAAGCTAGACCAAGAGTAGCCATGCTATCTAAGAAACAAGCTGCCAATCTTCCTAAACCTCCATTTCCTAAGCCAGCATCCTCTTCAAGTTCTTCAAGCTCTTCTATATCCAAACCCATCTATAATAATTAATTTTTATATAATTTTCCTTAAATTTTTTATTAGTAATTAATTTTAATAATTTTAATAAATTTTATTTGAACAAACCTGATACATAGCTTCATCACAAGCACCTTGAATACCCAAATTAATCATAGTGTTTTGAAGAGTTCTTCCCATGTAATATTCCAGAGATAGATAATAAACTCTCTAAACAGAAAAAAAAACAAACTAAAGATATATTATAGACAAGAGAAAAATAATAATAATATTTTGGAAATTTTTAATTATATAATAAAATTTAAAAAAATTAAAGATAATCTATTTAAAAATAAAGTTATAAATATTTCTATTTATTCAATTATAATTGAGAGAAAAAATTGTATTCCTTATATATAAAAATATATCAAATATTTTTTTAAAGAAATACAGAAAACTCTGATTCGAAAGGCAATAAAAAAGCGATCGATTTCAACAATGATTTAAATTCAATTTTATTCTATCTTCTGTATATTTATTATGAAATTAATTAATGATTGGAATGATTGATAATCCATTGACACAAATAAAAACAAATTGAGGACATTTTGAAATGAGAAGGAAATGAAAGATAATGCCTAGTTGAAATTGATCTTTATTGCGGTCAACGATTACTCTAAAATTTTATTTATTTCATGTGTTTAAGAATCTAATATCATATAAATAATAAGAAAAATAATAATATAAATAATAATAAAAATAATAATAATAAAATATAAATAATATTTATAGCTAAAATGATTGATATTAATTCTAAAAAAAAAACTATAATATCATTTCCTCATAAAATTTGAACAAATATTTGCATAAAAAAAATAAACAAAAATTATAAAAAATTATCTTGGAAAAGATAATAAAGCAAACATTTATCGATTCATTTTATACATGTATAAAGAATTATGAAAATGATATTTTTTTTATAGCAATATTATTATATTTTTTATTCATTTTGTCGAAAGAAATTAAAATATTTTACATGTAAAATATAATACTGTTTTATTATTTTATAATATTGTTTTATTTAATAAAATTTGATTCATCTTTTAAGATCAATTATTCAAACACGATTGTATATATAAATTTTTAAAATAATTTATAAAACAGTTTAGATAGGCATTCTTAAAACTTTTGCATAATAACGGGACTATGTCCAAATATAAATCGTAGATAGATTAAACATGACATCTCAAACTTTAATAGTCGTATCACGTGATCTATATTGTTCAATTTCTGTAATTTAGTGTTATAAATGTCTTCATAAGAAAATGTTATTTGTGATACTTTTCATGTTCAATTTCTCTTTATTCCTTTTAATTATATGTATAATTACAAATTACTTATGTAATAATATGTTTATATATTTTTATTTTATATATATAGATGCTATTATGATATTAATTTGTAATTTTTAATCAAAATTTTTGTATAGCAATCATAATAGCATTCTCATATTTGTCTATACTATACTTATTTTATTTTTGTTCGCCTACTCCTATATTTGGATCATAGTTCTGTTTTTTTGGCCTGTAACTATATTTCTCGTTTTCTTTGCATCGAATTTTTTTTTTCTTCAACATTTCTATAAGAATATATTTATTACTTTTGAATATATTATATTACTTTTTCCCAATTTTAACTTTATTTTTTTTCTCTTAGTTATTATTACTTAAAGACTATGTTTTTTCCGTCTTATATATTCTACTTTATTCTATGATTTTCTTCTTTTTAAATAAATAAATAATAAAAATTCAAGTTTTATTATTTAGTAATTTATAATTTAGTTTTATAAGATGATGTATTTCCTATTCTTCCATCTTTTTTTTTTTGTTATTTTTCAAATTTATCTTCGTATTCTTTCTTTTTTTCTTTGCATTTTTAGATTGTAATCTTTTAAATATATGAAAAATATGATTTTTTATAATAATATTTTCAAAAAAATTTATATTTGATCAGATAATTATAAAAATTATCCAATGATTATAATATTTTATTTAATTTGTTTATTGATAAAAAATAATTGTTTTTGATAAATTTATATAATTAATATGAGTTTAATTATATTAAATTAAATTATATTATAATATTAAAAAAAAATAATTAATAATAATAAACAATATATACACGATGTATATATGAAATAATCATAAATTTGTAAATTATTATTGATAATCTATAGATATAATTGGAATACTTTCAAAAACTGGATGGTTTTATCTTGACATTGCTTCGAAAAGAATGAAAATTGTTTGGCTTGAGACCTCAAGATGAAGCGATTATAAGGCCAACCGAAAATAGATACAACAACATGTTGCATCTTATATTTTGAAGGTTCATTGCAATATAGTGCTTCTATAAGTATAAATAGTATGCATATAAATGTACTGATCATTATATTAACAAAAATTTGAAAATTTTATTGAAAATTAGGAATTTTACTTTGCTTAAAAACTTCATTATCTAATAATGAAATATATTTTTATTATTAAATCAAATATTTATTTTTTGTTTGTTTTAATATCATATAATGTTTTACTTCACAATAGTTTAAAGATAAGTTTTCATTGATAAATATAATCATAATATAATTTATTTAAATTAATTGATAATAAGTGGAAATTTCTATTTTTCGATCTACTTTTGCACTTTTATTTTGAAATTATCAATTGTTTAAATATAATTAACTTAAACAATATGAGAAAAAAACAATAAACTATAGAATAATTAAAAAATATTTAAAAAAAGATAATTTAGCAAGTGAATTATATTAAAATGCAAAATAAAACTTCATTCACTAATTCTTCAAATATTACACATAAATAAATAATTTAAAATAAATAAACAATTGCAATGAATATAAGGTAAGTATGAAAATTATACTTACCGGCAATCATTAAATAAATTATATGAAAAAAATGACATTATTAATTATTATAATCATAATTTACATGCACAAAATATTTCATATAATATATAAATTAAATACATAGGTAGATAAAAATATAATGGCATACTTTTGGATCTTTCTCGTAATAGTATTGCTGAGTGCGTATCCATCTAGAAACTAAATTGTCCTTGACGCTGTGTGCCAAGGCGAAGAAATAATCTCTGCTCGTAGCCACATTACGATCCTTCACAAGGGTGTAATGAAGATGTCTATTGAAAGTTTTCTTGAAATTTCCTACATTTTCCACATCAACAATCCCGCGAACGGATATCTGTTTTCTTTTTTCTTGATCTGTTACTGAGGCTGACATTTCTCTTTAATTATTTTTTTTTCTTAAAATATAATGTTTATCAATATAAAACTATTTTCTTTTCAATTTTTTATTATTTTGCTTCTGTTACACAAAATCAACAATTCTAACACTTTAAATTTAATTCAAATTTCTATTGTTTTTATGGATTTTTCTTTTATTTGTAAAAATTCCTATATTAAATTCGTAATTGTATATTTTGAATTAAATTATTCATTCACAGATAGTAATATTCTATATATAATGTAATTTTTATTGTTAATTCTGAAAATTGTCAGACACAATGACCGGTTTTCACTACACATGCACAAATACCGGTGCTCCGAAGATCCACACGTTTGTGCTATCCAGAGACGAATAACATGCCTATCTCTGGCAATCTTCGAAGCGGTCACCTTGTATGAAGGTCACGCAGGCGCATTAAAAGTCTTATCTGTCACGTGATCCGTAACGATTATACCGATCGGGTTTTGAAAATTTAAATACTTTTCCGCCATCTATGATGATTTTTTTGATATTGGTTTACCTCTTCATTATCATTAATTATATTATCATTGTTAATTAATCTAATTAATAATGTATGGTGTATATATATAATTTTAATATAAGTATTCTATTTTTCTTTTAAATTATAATTTATTATATATATTTGATATTTTAAATAAGATAGATAAGAACTATTTTAAATAAAAATATTTCAATTTGTTTTAAATACCTTAAAGGATATAAAGAAAGCATATCTTGTGATTCAGTGTCTTGTTTAATATAATTTATTTATAAATTAATCGTGCGGATGCAGATGCAATAATGAAAACGTCAATAAGCGATACGCGTATTACAATTTGCATTCTGAAAAAGATTCTTCTTCCTCCGTTTCTATCTATTTTTTTCGCATTCCTTTCCCATTATAATCGTCTTTTTTTAGAGACATCATATTTGAAAGTGTAATGATACCCAATCAAATTTCATCGATATTTTATTAAATCGTATTCATCGTAAGGAATTATATGAATTTTTATAGTTCGATACATTGATCAATGATGCAATACGATTTAAAAAAATATGAATGAAATTTCAGGTATTCGCAAATTTGTTTCGAACGATATAATAATAAAAATTCGCAATTCAGCCAACAACTTTCCATTGTAATGTTTAACGATATAGTTACACTTAATAATATGATAGCGATAATTATATTATTCGAAGAAAAAATCTTCGAAAACGCCGAAGAAGAAACGGCGCTACTTTTTTATTCTCATATACACAACATACATACGCACAGATACAAATACACGCACGCGCATGTTCAACTATTTTCTTTTTTTAAGAATAATTATGTAATGAGTGATATTACAGAATCATTTGATATGCGGGCCCATTTATGATTTCCAAAAAATTCATTTTTTTTTATTTTTTATAGATTAAAATCGTATTGCTGTCAGAAAGATTTATTTCTTTAAGATTTAATGTTATCAAATATGAAAATAAATCTATTCATAAGATTCAAACTGACAATGAAAATATTATGTTAATACATTATTTATAATTTATATTACACAACAATTATTAAGCTTTTTTTCAAAAGTAATTTTTCATCACACATATTCCAGACTTACAATTATTTATTAATCAATCGTGTAGGCTGAAACAATTTCTTATTATTTATTAAAGTAATAAAATTTAATTCATTTTTCAAAGTGTAATTTTTTAAATCTGATATAAATTAATTGATTTTTAATCATCAATAAAATTTAATTAAGAGTTATATATAAATTTGTATGTATAAATTTTATATAAGTAAAATCTTAAAATCTTAGATATATTAAAAATCAATTTTAATTAAATTTATAATTTAATTTTTAATTAAATAATATTAATATATTATATATTAGCGTTATTTAAAAAATAATTTAAAACGCGCAATACTCATTAACAACATTATTGAAAAAAAATAATAAACTTCTTCTTTTTCTTTCATTCTCTTTTCCTTCCTTTTCACATACATACAATCATATGTGCATTTTCTCTCTTCATGAAGAATTTTACGTCAATTATGCAATTATGCAAAGCAAAATTTATGCATATTTATTAATATTTTTAAAGATTATATTTAATTGTTATTTTCAATAACTATTTTTTTCGTTGCTTATTTTTTTTTAATGAAATTTTAATAAAAAAAGTAGTAAGAACTAAGAAATATTTACTGAAACAATAAAAATTCATGATTTATATTTACAATTATATAAATTTCATTTCTTGATATATTAGCTTATATTGATATAACATAATCATAAATAAGTGCATATATTTTATAGTAATAAATTTAGCAATAATTTAGTAATAAAGTAATAAATTTAAACATGTTTTATACAAATATTAAACAAACATTATACATATCATAAATAAAAATTTTTTGAAAATACCAATCATCGTTGAAAAATAATAAAAATTGATAATTGATAATTGTAAAATTGAAAAATTTTATTAAACGAATAAAACTACGAAAAGATAAAGAGAATATAGATTTATATAAACTGAAAAAATGTAACTATACATAAGTATATAAAAATCTAGGAAACTGATCTAAATTTTTATATTAAAAAAAAATAATGAAAGTATTATAGAATAATAATAATTATTATAGAAATTTTTGTTAAAAAAATATTAATATAAATTTTAAATCAGTTTCCTCTAACGAAATTATTTAAATTTTTCAAAATAAATAAAATTTATTGAAAACAAAAAGAATTTCCATTTATCTTTAAACTATTTATATTATTTCATTCTTAACATTTTAATATAATCTATTATTGTCACACGTTCAATGTGTGCATATTTTATATAATATTTAAAATTAAAAAATCTTACATTATATTTTTGTTATAACTCAAGCTTAAAGAATATGAATGCAAATTTGAAATTTCTAAAAGAGAGAAATAAAACAATATATTATAAAACAAATTATTTTAACTCTATATATACATGATTTTAATTATAAAAAATTTTTTAATGATAAAAAATTGAATTTTTCATAAAGTATTTTGAATATGCAATTTAACAAAATAAAATGAAAAAGAAAGGAAAATAAGAAAATATAAATTTCAAAGCAAAAAATTAAAGATTAGGAGAAAAAAAAAATAAAATATCTTTGTGCTAAAGATATTTTTCAATAATTATATATAATGAAAGAAATTTACTGAAAAATAAACAATTAAAATTAATTTTAATGGGACCGCATATCATTTTGTAAAGAAGAAATATCAGTTCGGAATGGTATGGGAAAGTGCGAGGAAAAAACAAAAAATAGAAGGAAAATCGGTAAACCCTTAGACACACGCATTGCATCATTCATGATTTTTGCAGAGTACACCAAAGGGTTCTATTCATCTCCCTTATCGCAACAAATTAATATAATCGCTAAATGTTACTTCTTTCTGTTTATTTCGATTAATAGGGACAGTTTGTAGATCCAAAAAAGGAATACTCGTTTTATGATGTTAAAATCCAATTTCCGAGTTTTTTCCTTTATATTACCTTGTGATCTCTTCTCGTTTTCCTTTCTTTAGAAGCCGTTACCCTATTGCGATTCACATTTCAATCTTCTTGCACTTTCAGAAATATTTCTCATTATATATAACACTATTTTTCCTTCTTTCTTTTTTTTCATATATTCAATGCTTATTCATTACATTTTCTTTGCAAGCCATGCTTCTATTGTAACTACTTTTTTTTATCATTTTTTACTTCGGTACATAGGAATTTCAGAATTAAAAAAAATTATCCTGTTTTTAAATCTTATAACGCTAAGAATATCTTTTTTTATCTTTTATTTCCGTGAATCATTTATAATATATGTTATAATATATTATATAATATATATCATAATATTATAATATAATAAAATATATACATATTATAATATTATATTACATTATATAATATTATAATATTATTATAAATTAATAGGTTTTTTCAGCGTTCTTTTTTTCAACATTGGCATAACATTTCATTTTGCTGTTCATTTTATCTATTCTGCATTTTCTTGTAAATATTTCTTTCTCATTTCTTTAAACTCTATATGTTTTGTTTTCTATCTTTTTTAAATTCTTTTTTTTTTATAATCATTTCCATACTTCTGTATAACTGCTCTTTTTTTCATTCTTGTGTGGATTTCGTAAGTATCCGGAAAATTCGCTTGAATTTTTTTTACTCCCGCGTGGTGATAAACTTTCATATTTATTCTTCTTTTTTTGGTTCTTTCTTGCCAAATGGTATCGCAGCTTTCACCCTAAAACAATTAAAATACAAGTTTTTAGAAAATCTAAAATTACTTCTTCAAAATATTTTTATTTTTTTTTTCAATGACAAATATATATAAAATGTATTTTCTAATTTATCCATATATATGTTTATACTTATATATACATATAATATATATGTATAAACTTACATAAATATGTTTAAAAAAATTAAACCATTCTCCACTTCATTGAAAGAAGTGATTTAAGATATTATTTTAATATATTTTACACCGTGACAAATATTTATTATCAATGCATTAATTACTAATTACATAAAAAAAATCTAAATATTAATCAATATTTATCACAAAACTATATTTATATATTTTATGCAACAAATTACTAATTACAAAGAGAATATATGCCATTTTTCAAATAAGAAAATTTACAATGTATATAATATAATATCATATCATATCCTACTACATATTACTACATATTTAATCATAAATATTCCAATAAATTTTGTATTATTCTATTAAGATTAAATATTAAAAATTTATTCGATAAAAACAATTCAACGTTTTATAGGCACAAAATTATTTTTATTATTTTTATTGTGAAATATTAATATTTATTATTTGATGAAGTGTACTTACTTAGCAGCGAGCTCATTGATCTTGCTTTGTACCAATGCTAAATTCTGATCTATTTGTGATTTATTTGTCTCATAGACCTTGGGTAATGTAAATAAGGCGATTACTCCTGCAAAAAATAACAATTAAATCGAATATAATCATATCATTTTTCAAAGTTCATTTTTATTTAAATAATTATATAATAGCATATATTAGCATAAATTATATAACAGCATAAATATGCTGTTTAATTACAAATTTTATTATTTTTTTGTTATGTTGAATATTTCGTTGAATATATCATTCTTATAATTATTTCTAAACAAATATATATATGATTTTATTTGTACAAACAAAAAAAAATTAAGAATATTTCACTCAAAGTTATTTTACTTATAAATATTCATTAGAAAATTATATACTTAATTTATTATGTATAAAATATGAAAATTATTTCAAAAATGTACAAATAATGATAATGATTTGAATGAAAAAATTTACCAATTATAATTAGAGTCATGCCATTGAACCAAGAACCCACATAAGTGAGGCACCAAAGAAGGATACCAAATTTTAAAGAATCGACAAAATCTTCGACAAGAAAGAGCCTACGAAGTTCACAAACTGCTGCATTTAAATGTGCGACAGCTACATCCGCTACTTCATGCACCTTCTCCGCAGGCAATGTTAAGTCCATTTCCAAAATATTTCTAAAATTATAAATAGTACGTTAAGATTTTATTTCATTTTTAATTTTTTTTTTAGAATTTTTTTCTCTAAAATAAAATTCTCTAAAAAATTTAATACATTATTTATTCTTTTATAAAAAAAAAAGAAAAAGAAAAAATTTTATATTTCAAATTTGTATAAAATAAAAAATTTATTTGTTATTAACTTTTATCTTTTCAAAAATATGATACTTGCTGGAAAGGATGCCCATCGGAAGTCTTCTGAATAGCTTGAAGGACGGTACTGTGAATCCTAAAAGCAATGGTACCGGTGAGGATAAGAAGAGACAAATAAGCAAGAACGCTTATCAGACTGAAATAGGCCATCGAGAGGAGCACGCCAAGTATGCAGCCGAACACGGGGCCTGATTTCTTTGGATCACGCCAATAAATTAAAGCTGCCACTAAAATAGAAAAATATATCATTATTAGAAATTTTAAATTTACAATTACCATATTTTTATTATCTAATCTACACACTTTTTAAACTTCTATTAATTTACAAATAATACAAATAATCATATATAAAGCAATAACAATGAAACAATATCTTGTTTCAATAAATTTTAGAGCAATTTCCATAAATTATACGAAACATTATATACACATACAGGGTGATATTTGATAAAATTATCTTAGAAATATAAACTCCATATTCAGATATAATTTACTTTCAACTAAAATCAATAAAATTCAACTAAAATGTTGAGACAAGTTCAATGATGTATCATTGTGACCAAAATGATAAAAATTTTATAACAGTTATAACAATAATTTTATAACAGTTATAAAAAAATTTCAAATATCATTTAAAAACTAAATCGAATTTTTCTATCCTGATATTTTTCTATAGACACGTGCTCCTGAACCATATGTTAATGAAAATAATCGGATATCAATCTCTTTCAAAGAAGAGAGATAAACTCACCGCTATTTCTATCGGGTAACTCCTCGACAGGTGTTCTTGAATTATTTCTTCGCACCATTTTCAACTAACGAGAGAAGAGGCTACGTTATAAAAGAAATTGAAAGCATGGAAAGCTAAGCAAGAACTGCCACCTCTTTCCACGGTTTCGTTTGCGCATGGAACTCTTTACATATCTTAGTAATATTAAAGAGATACGTGTACACGAGAATGAGTAAAGTGGGAGAGGGAAATAGAAACCAACAAATTGGAATAAAAGAAAGAAACAAGAACCGGTAAAGCAATTGGAAAAATAAAATAAGCATCACAATGAAAAAAAATATTTTCTATTATATATTCTATTAATATATAAATATAATGATTTATTTAATGATTTTTTAAATAACTAATTTAATTAATTTATATAGTATTCGATATTTAGTATTATATTGTTTTTTTCTCAGGTCTTGAACATCTTATATTTTTCATGATTACATTATTAACGATAAAATTTTTATTTTACTCTCTAGTTTATAATTAA